CCACCAAACCTTTCTTAATATTATCCCACACAGTATTCAAGTGTAAATCATTCATACACAACTCATTGAAACATCTAATATTTTCTCTCAGTCTACATTTATACTTCTCTTTCACATCTTCATCTTGTAACTTCTCTATTCTTATACGCTGTAACTCAGTGGTAGACACAGATGTCCGATCCCGCCAACGCTTGATAAGACCATTAATTCGACATAAGACCAAGTAATGATCCGTCCCTACGTTGGCCCCCCGGTAAACCTTTGTATCTACGACTGCGCTTCTCATTCTTTCACAATTCCGAAATCTATCATGCTTCTATCATCACCTCTTTCCCATATACATGGGAAAGAGGTGATGATAGAAGCATGTATACACATGTGAATCTTAATATGACGAAAAAAGTATTCGTCACAACAAGATTCTTTTCCACACATACGGTGAGGAGGTCTTCACCATTCTCATTTATACTTTCATCACCAAACGTTCTTAATATCCTTTCATAACCAGACCTCTTCATCCCAACCCTTCCATTAAAGTCTCCTAACATAATAATATTTTCATTTTCCTTATATTTTGTCAACACCATCCTTACCATGTCCAAAAACTGCTCTCGGATGTAAGTGGGCTTAGACATGTCTGGGGCGTACACCCCTAGCAGGAAAAGCTTCTTTAAGCCCACTTTCATTCGTATCCATACCCAGCTAACATTTTGGTGTCAGTTACAGGTTTTAATATAACTTTAATGTGTTTAACTGAGTAATAATTATCTCAGTTCTAACTAAAAGACATATATAAGAGTTAAAAGATAAATTTAGCTCCAACAGTGGTTCTAGAACTTTAATGAACGATGTTAGGTTGCTTTAAGAGTTAGAATAGTGCTAATCACAGCAAGTATAGTTAAGAAGTTGTAGCTTTGACCTGTTTGTAGCTCCTAAATCTATACAACAGTGCTCGCTGACTCTCGTTAACACTTATTGTTGTTTAGTTGTTGCCGTGAAGTGTCTTATATGCCTTTAGGTATTATATTGACTATAGGTGCAGACATGGGTTGTAAAATAGAGTTTGTCAAGAGTGTACTAACACAAGATACTAAAAGTGTTGAACAACTCATTTATGTAGTTTTAAGCTATAATTTTAATTTTACTAATGCTTATTGTGTTTGGCATATACACTTTAAATACATTGTAAAAGTAATGGTGTTATACAAGACAAGTATGGATATTAATACTCAAAAGCAGTCTTTCTAAAGTTGCGATTTGTTATAATTTTTGTTATAAACAACCTTATTACGAACTGAAGAAATTTTTCTACCAAGTATTATTATTAAGTTACATTAAAATGAAACGATTACAAAGATGGAGTAAACAAAAGAAAACAGGCGCAGTGAAAAAAAGAATTATGCAGGAATGCCGTATTTTTTTGGATTCACTTAATAATGGTACGAATGACACAAACAAATCACTTAGTTATGATGATATCCGATTAGATTCTGGTATTCCAGTTATTACGGAAAATAAAGAAGATTCGTTACAAAGAGAATATATAAATAGCCATAATACGAGTAATTTTGGTCAAGTTCGAGTGGAGGCACAGCAGGGTTCCGTAGAACAAGAACAAGAAAAAGCACAAGTAAATAACAATTTTTTCGATTCCATACCACTTAGTGCGTCAGAAGATGAAGAAGAAGAGGAAGAAAAATTTAGTGATATTGAAAAAATTACTGCACTAACTAAACAATTAAAAACGTGGTCCGTAGGAAACAATATTACCCAAACTGCTTTAAAACAGCTTCTGTTGATTTTGAATGAAGGCTACGTTAGTACTACATTATTACTTCCGAAAGATCCACGCACTGTTTTGCGTACTCCAAAAGAAATTTGTATTAAAAATATAGAAGGAGGACAATATTGGCATCATGGTATAACTGAACCGTTAATGAAATTACTTAAGGATTTCACGCCCATTCCAAATAGCATTCATTTAATCTTTAATTTTGACGGTCTGCCAATATTTAAGAGTGCCAAAAAGGAGTTTTGGCCAATATTAGCCAATGCAGAGGGGAATGTATTCACAATTGGAATATACTATGGTACAGGCAAACCAAAAATATTAGAAGAATATTTAGAAGATTTTGTAACTGAGATGAAATCATTACTTAGTAATGGAATAATTATAGATGAGAAACTTGTTTCTATAAAAATCAAATGTTTTGTTTGTGATTCTCCAGCAAGGGCATTCCTTAAAGGTAAATATTTTTAATTTATGGCCGTATTGAAACTTTAACATTATTGTTATAATCGTGATAGACGAACTAAATTACTATGTATAGTCAATTTTACGAATTATTATTATTATTTTATGAATAATTTTCATTTAAATTTTGTGATGTTCTGTATTCAGTCTTTAATCATTGCTTTAACGCTCGTATGTACTGACTAAATTAGTTAGGCTAAGATTTCAAGGCGATCTTTTCAAATTTTCTAAGTTATTTGTATTGGCTAAATGTGTGACATACTTTTTTCAGGTGTATGTAATTTTAACGGAAGACATGGATGTTTAAAGTGTACGACGGTTGGAGAATATTCGCATACATCTCATACTGTAGTCTTCTCTACCAAGGAAGATTCTCCAAGAACAGATGAAAATTTCAGAGCTAAACTTTACGGAGGTCATCATAAAATAGATTCTCCTTTACTACAATTGCCAATTGATATGGTAGAAGATTTTCCAGTAGCAGATTCTTTGCACCTCATAGATCTGGGTATAATGAAGAGGCTGCTTATTGGGTGGCGAGATGGCAATTTTGGAACATATATGACTAAGCTGTGTGCGCGAGATATTGAAAACCTAGAGGCATTTTTAAAAAACTGTAAATTACCGTCTGAGATCCACCGGGCAGTAAGAAGTATAGATTGTCTCGCTTATTGGAAAGCAAGTGAATTTAGAATTTTTTTTTATTATTTAAGCGTTATCATATTGTCTGATATCCTTCGTGTTGATGTTGTTGAACACTTTTTGAGTATATTTTGCTCTATTACGATATGTTCCAATAAATGTTACACAACTTTACTACCACTTGCCAGAGAAATGCTGAAACATTTTGTAGATCAGTATAAATATTTCTATGGTTCTCATTATATCACCAGTAATGTGCATAATTTACTCCATATTGTGGACGAAGTTCAAAAATTTGGCCCTCTTCACAACTTCGATGCGTATCCATTTGAGAATCAATTATATTTAATCAAGAGAATGTTAAGACAGGGTGACAAACCTCTGGCACAAGTTGCTAAGAGAATTTGTGAGAAAAGTACAATTAATCTTTTGATGACAGCAAAAACCACGAATAATGTACCCTACTTGATAACTAGTAAAAGTAATCGTAAAATTCACTTCAAAAACTTTGTCCTCTCTTTAAAGCCAGAAGATAAATATTTTATGACTCACAATGATGATATATTTGAATTAAAAGACTTGTCCCCTGGTAGTGAAAAAGAGGTTACCATAAGTGGTAAAAAAATTTTGAACAAATATATCATATTTGACTTACCGATTAAGTCATCGTTTTTAAGTATGTATAAAGTAAAAGAACCTTATGTTGTCTCTGATGATGTTATAGTAATAAATCCAAATGAAATCAAATGTAAATTAGTTTGTATTAGTCATAAAGATATAATATACTTTCTACCATTATTACATACGCTGTAGGTACTCAAATGATAAGCAAACTTTAATTTGAAAATTTCTTTATTAAAACAGTAAAAATTTAAGAAAAGATTGTTGTACAAATATGGTTTTTAGAAACAAAATATATGTTTGCTTTCACAATATTTTCTGAAATAAATACTCTGTATGTGAATTATGAAAAAATCAATGAAGAGAATATTATTTATCCATCATAATATTAAAAATGCTTTCTTTAGCTTAGATTGCTATAAAAAAACAAATAAGTATACCTAAACTAACTATGGTAACTAATACAATTTAACATATTATGTTGTACTTAACAAAGTAATTGTTTTGAGATAATACAGCCTTACGTATTAGTAGGTATATTTTTCACCTATAGGTATATACAACGTAACAAAAACCCTGTGGTTCCCGTTAAGTATGTTATCAGGATCAGTATTTAAACCTATAGAAATAACTCGTTTTTAAATTTTATTAAAAAAAATATTTTATTTTATGTCGTTTTATTGCCTCTTACTGACACTAGCCGATGCTAAAGCTTAGTAAAGCGAGGTATTTGACAATCCTCTTACTCCACCGATAATGCAGAGGTAATAAAACCACATACAATTCGCATACAATTTTTTTTAATTAAAATAAAAAATATTGTTCGAGTTTTTACAAAAAAAGTTATTTCTATACGTTTGAATAATGATCCTGATAGGGTTTTAGTTACATATTGTATATCTACTAACTTGATCTACATAATAAATATTAACCTACAAAAATATTTTTAAAAATTCGGTAATGTCTAGTAATTATTTCAATCAGTCTCGATTTCCAATTATAGCCTTACATATGACAAAATAAAAATAGATAAAAATAATACTCTAATAGCTTTAATCTTTACATAGTTTTCAGAATATCAAACGAAATAGTATAATATATAATAAATATTTATAATTGCTTAATGTAACGATTCCTTTTCTTCAATTTCAGACACTTGTCTCCTTTCCAATTATAACGTTACTATTATATTTGGCGATGTCTTTTGAGATATTTTTTATAACATCGCCTTCTTTATTTTCCTTTGTGTGTTCTTCTACTGAATCATTTCTTTTCTTCTTATTTATCGTGTTTTCTTCTTCGTTTATCTCATTCTCACTTTCACCGTTATCAGAAGTTACATTTGTCTCATTTTCTTCTGAAAACTTCATACGTTTCAAATTATTTTTGGGTTTCGAACGTTGCCTTGATGTTGAAGCTCTTTCAAGTTTTTCAATTTTTCTTTTTTTTGGCATTTTTCAAAATCGTTTTGAAAAATAATTCATTATCTTTTTAAAGAATATTCCTGATCCCAATAGTGCACCATATTCCAGAAAAAAGACAAGACATGTTTATAACCTTTTAAAGGAATTTTCAAATCTTCACCTCTGCTGCCCCCACTCCATGAGCACTCACAAATAAATTTCCTTGTAAACATAACATCAACAAGCATATAAGCACAGTCTATAGCTTTACCTCCAGAACAAAGTATAGAATATCTATTTTTCAAACAGTCTCTATTGTTTGGGTCCGATAACTGATTTTCGAGTTCATCTAACTCCTGGGCGCTGTCAACTGGCTTTTCATATATTGGAATATTTTCAACATGGCCTTTGCTGCTATTTAAAGTTTGCACGTCTTGATTATACGATGAAGTTATTTGAAATACTGCGTCTTCCATTTGCACAGACAAAGCAGACACCTTTTGAATGAAACTATTTTGCACATTTTTTAGGGACTGAATCTGGGCGATAATTGCCGAGTTATTATCCAGTTGCTGCTGTCGATTTTGATAAATTTGGCTTAGAATAGTTGCTTGGTTATCTAATATTTGTTTTTGGTTCTCAAACATTTTACTGATGTCAAAGCTTACTGAATCCTGTACTAAAGGTGTAGTATCATTTGAAAAGACTTGAGATGTATTTGTTGAATTTGCTTGAATATCCTCGGTATAAACTAAGTTATAGTTTAATTCAATCGGCAAGTCAGCGGACGATGACGCTATGTCTGTGTTACGGTTAGTCAAAACAACATTGCCCATCTGAAACAAAAAAGAGCCGGTAAAATTTTATTAAACAAGACTTGACAAAGAGTTTAAAAATAAATAGACTAAATGTTTAAAAAACATTAATTCATTCTTTATAGGCTACTAAAGTCATAACCTTCATTTAATATGTAGTTCTTACCATATCTTGTGCTATTGGATTCAGATTTAAAGATTTGTTATGTGAACGTCGCCGCTGCGTATAATTATCGACATCGTCCTCCGTATCACTGTGCTTCAGCATTTCAGATACAAGCTTTTCTCCGTTTTCGTAGCTTAATACATCGGTCCGTTTTACTTTACATTTTATTACGTCCCAGTCTAGCGTTGGTGTTGAATTTTCATCTTTTAAATACTTTGATATGCATTTATTTGGATATCTGAGAATATTGTTAGATTCCCAACCCGATGGAATAGTAAATAATTTATATTTCTTTCCCTCCAAGGTTTGAACAACTTTGAACGGCATGCTGAAACAATAATAATAACAACTTAGTACACAAATTCAGACAACGGAAAACATACGTAACACGTATATACGTAATTACTCAAGGTATAACAAATTGTCCCAATAGAGAAAATCTTTCTTCATCAATTTACATAGCTTGCCAATTATTATTTTTTTTATTTTGACCCACATTTTGGTGAAAGTTGTTAACTTTAATTTATCCTCCACCTCCACACGTATCCCTTAGATATTTCGTTACAACCTGATAAACATAGATCATGTCGTTTGCGGCTCTAAAAGCAAGCATTTGTGGCCAATAAGAACGTTCATATATAAAAAATAATTAAAAACAATTACATAATTTCAATTTCCATAGTTACGAAACTACAAGTGACATTGAATCGGTGATTAAAAAAATCATAACATTGTACGTAGTTGTATATGCAACCCTTAAGAAACACTTGCACTAGCACTTCTTACTAGTTTGTGCTTAAGAAACTTAAAAACTATTAGGTATTACTGGATTTACCGAAGTCACATTTGCCATATGGATGAAGTCGCGGGTAGTTAAAACAAAAAAAGTTGTCCCAATAGTGTTTTTGTACATAATAGTACCACGTCATAGGGGCGAAAATAAAGATGAGCTAAACAATATGGTAGATATCTATACCTACATAGAAACAAGGTCTACCTACTTCCACGTACCTATTTCAACACAATATTATATAAATAAACAAATCTTTCGGCACAAGTCCCAACTTACACTATCTACCTATAGTCTAACATTCTATGTTACATTAAGTTAAGATAAATAATGAATGTTATTGAATGACTGACCTTGTACGCGTTTTATTTTCGGGTATCAAAGTGAGATGATCAGACGACACTGCTCGAGCCGCTGACGCATTGATGTCCGTTTTCACTCGTCGACTGTGTAAGACTGAGTGACTGTGACTGACTTATTTTGCGAGTAAGGAACTGAGGAGATATTACGATTGTAATGAGTAAAAGTTATAGAAACCTGGACAATCCTTAAAAATAAATGTTTCTTAGGAAAAGTGGTTTGTTATGATGTGTAGTATAATACTACAATCGAACTAATAAAAAGACACCTTACAAACCATATAAATCATTTACTCGGTTTAAGTAATACCAAAACATTGTTTTTTTGTGATTTTTTTTAATACTTGCAGGTTTTGATTATTTCGTTGAAGAACCCTAATCCATCCAGTTCGTAAAATGTTTAGCCGGTTGTATTGCCTTGGCTATAGTAAGTATATTTATTCAAGTCTATTATTGCACTGTTAAGTATACTAAAGACTGCACAATATTCTTGAGTAAAGATGTTGTATCTCAAAGTGTGTAATAGATGACTTAAGTGAAGACCTAAAGCTTTAAGTAAGTTCGCCATTGTTTTGGTAAACTAACCTATAAATTGATGACTGGATTATTCAATATTTGACAACAAAATACTTCATTATTTTTGTTAATTTTGTTATTCCATTGATGCCACTTAATTTAACATGCCACTGGCCAGGATGCAAGAATAAATATGATACAAATTTGGGGTGTCTGTTTTATTCTTCATAACTTTTATTTGAAATCTCTAACAAATCCTGAGCGCGTTAAAATTGAGATGGAAAACATAGTATACACTTACCGTAAAATCACAATGGCTGATTGTTTTCACTTCACAAACTAAAATAACTTGAACACTTTATTATAACTCCTCTGTCAATTATGTCTCGCCATTCGGTAAGCTGTTCTTCGTTGTCACAATTTTATTATGTCGTTTATAGGATTTCTCAAACGAGACTTGAGCTTGAGAGTATTTTATATAACTATTACGCGTTAAAGTGTAAAACAACTATTTTTAATAGGTCTAATGAAGTTTTGAGTGATAAATTATTCTTAGCCGACGTTTTTCTATGTCCCAGAGTGTTAACTAACCCATCTACAACCACAGTAATACCGGTTAAAGTAATAGCTGAGGATGAATAAACACTCTTATGTAGGTACTTTAACACCTTTATACCGTTGCTCTACAGGCTTTCTATAACCTTTACCTGTAAAATCGTGGGCCTCTTTCGTGGTTATAAGTGAGTTAGAGCACTCTATAACACCGCTGCTACAGGTATTCTTAACACTTTGATACTCGAATGGATCCCATATACGAACGATATACAGGTTGTTTTAACGCTACCGTGCTAGTTGGGTAGCAGCCTCGGGCTTACACATTCATACTCTTTCACACATTGACCCACTCTTTCTGAAAGGATGAAACCGACTCCCTGGCATGCCCGTTCGGTCTCGTCTACACCAGACCAATACGCGGTATACGTGCCATGTGCAGTGGCATACTTTCACTTTCGTTTCGTCTCATTCACACATAACACATCTATTCCTCTGTCATTCATCATTTCGCATACTTCATCCATCTTATCATTCATTCCTCCACATACATTCAGCGTAGCCAGACGGGTTTCTGCAATCCACTTTTTCGCCCCTCCGGGAGACAGAACGTGACGGGTGGCGAACCTCGTCGCCGGTTTTTCTCCCGGAGATTCTTCGCACCCCTGCCCCATTAAAGGGGCGCCGGGAACTCGGGGCCATTTCTTTTATTTCCTGACTCATGGTGCGAACAAGGGGTGGTGGTAGATTTTACGCCGCTACCATACGGCGAGGAGCCGAGTCTATTTTTTTCGGCTTTGTCGCTCGTTTAGCACCACCCGGGGGACACGTGGGCCTAAGGTTAGGTGGTCGAAGCCTACGGACGCGAGCGACTCATCCTCCAAATATTCTGCAAGTATTCTATGCAGGTAATTACAAGATTTCAGAAAACGCAAATATGAACGAGCTGCAAATTGGATCAAAATACAAACTACATTGAGATAATTGTTTTGATTATTATTGTTATGTACTGAATCTATAAATTCTAAATTCTGTTATACCTATAAAACTTGTATTTATATTTTTATTATATAAATTATCATTTATTATGTGTGGTAATTAGGTTATTTCGGTAATAATATTGTTATTATATGAGATACGTAGTTATAACAACCGGTACGTTTACGATGCAAACGAGCTTTATTGAAAAATTCTTAGCACCTTCGTCGAAATTCAGTTATTTTATTTTTTAGTACGACGACATCTAGCGACAAGTTAAATAGTTATACAGGAGCAAAGAGATTATGAAAGATAGTTAATCGATTAGTACAACGACATCTGGTGACAAGCAAATTGTTAAACAAGAGCAAAAGGATTATGAAAGATAGATAATCTATTAGTGCAACGACATCTGTTGACAAGTAAATAGTTAAACTAATATATAATAGGTTTAGTTTCTTGGAAACGGCTCTAATGATTTAGTTGATATACTGTATTTATTTTACCCTCCAAATTTATCTAAATGGGTCATCCTTGAATGTTTTTGTGATTAAAGCCAATTTCAGAATAACATTATTAAATATTTATTCTTCAACAGCATGTAAATTAGAACAATATCTTAATATGATCCAAGCATAAAAATTTAAGGTTCTACCTATAAATCCATCCACGGTAGCTCAGAAAGCTTAAAAAAAAGTATTATTGTACAGGCAACAAGCTGTTGCAGGATCTTTATACAACAGCTGCATTCAGTTACATGGTCATAAATTAAGGTATAATATCCCGTTACCAGTAAAAATAGTGTCCGGTGATTGGCTGTATACTGGACATATTTTGGTACCGATTGGATCGATGTTGCGTAACCATAAGGAGGGGTCAGGAAGGATTTTCCCTTGCTGTAAGACAATAATACTGTTACTTGTACGAAGCACAGCAGCATTATGCTGCTATTTAACGCTGGCGTACTGTGCGATTTACAACAATTTGTCTTATTGTACAAAGTGCCCTAAAAGCACTGTAACCTCTTGTTATATTTGTTTGTGAATTTCCCTTCTATACATGTATTTTAGTTTCACAAGGAAATTAAAAAAAAAATCAATATTTTATACATGTTTCGGTAACTGTTTGAGATATTTGACAAAATATAGACTAATCGTCTTTTTTGTTGATGCTTTAACTACTAACTGTACCACATTCCTAGTTCGTCGTTAAATTTTACGACGTATACCTACGAGGAAAAGCAGCGCCGGCTGTTGGGAATGAGCTATTACGACCGGTAAAAGAAAACACTCATGCGTTTTACGAGGCAACAGAGAGAATAAGATATTGTTGGTTTCCTGAAATTTAGCTTACATATTTTTGTTATTTTTATACGAAAGTAGTGATAAAATATGAGCGCACAGTCTACAATTTGTATTCGAGGTAGAACCACGTTGCTATAATATGGTTGTAGCCCGAATATTTCGGCTCGACCGCGGTAAGAGCACGGTAGATTACCAGCGTAAAATAGCAGTAAAATTTAACTAGAAACGAAGAATTCCATCTTAAATCATTTTATTTCTTAATCGTATTACAGTAAGTGTACATCTCTATGGACCAAAACCTTCAAATTAGCATCGAGTGCCACGATACAGGAAAAAAATCTTTTTTCCTGCATCGTGGAGTTTTTGTGAATTTGCTGGTAATGTTTGATTTATCTATTTGTAATGCTTATCAATTAACCGTTCAATCTTCTAGCGCTCTCATGAGACCGCGGCCATATTCCTACAAATCGCTAGCGGTCTCATGAGACCGCACCCACCCACAGCACTACAACCCATAAAAACTTAAATTTAAAGACTACTTTTCAATGAAGAAGTTTGACATTATAAAATGAATATCAAATTTTCTATCCTCTAGTTAAATAAAAATTCAGTTAGTGGTTGCGCGGAAAACCATTCGCGTTTTTTTATTTTGACGGTAGGAACTTGTAGAATCATTATTTCCTTTCCAAACAATATCATTCGTACCCTCCTATCGACACATCGGGGTGGTGGGGTGGGAGGGGAAAGAAGACGATTCTAGAACATCGCGTAATCACCCGAGCCGAGGATATATAAGACACGCGCGACCGATGCGCGAGCCTCTTCTCCCGCCGCAGTCGTCGTTGAACCAACGCTTCTCTCCTGACGCACCACTGGGGCCCCAGAAGTGTCTGTCCAGAGGAGGTTCCGGAAGTCGCCGCTATAGTGATCGACAGGAAGAAGAAACCCCGGTGAGTCAATACTCCTTAATTATACCTGCTTGCTAATAATTTAACCCGCTCCAATCTGTGTTTTTTTCCTAGTCAAGCAGGATTCCTTTCATCGATTCGACAAGTAATAGTTTAGTTTAGGGAAGAGCGAGTGCATTGTACCGCATGCTATAGTAGTCGCCTTATGTAAGCGTAGAAGCAATCGCATATACAGTCCACTTTAGTTAATATCTCGCGTAATAGGTTTGAGGTTTGACCGGGGAACTAGATTTTCGGCAGCCTTAAACACGTGGCTCCACCATTTTATGGTCACTTCGGCAGGATCTGGATTGGTGTTTAGTGGTTATCCAACCATTTTCTGGTCGAATTATTAAATTAATTGTTTAGATAACGCACTCTAATTTATAGAATAGACTTAAATAGTGTTCGTTTAAATTAAAATTTTGATTTGTTACTCGCAAACAGAATTATTCATTTAATAGCGCTCGTATTTGGTTAAATTTAAAGCTTATTAAATAATTGAAACGGCGTGATAGCAACCGTTTGATACGCTTACCCCACAATTTTATAAAATTATTAGGTTTAGCAAACGACGCGTAGCCTTGACTGCATCGGGCGCTCGATCTGATTACGTAATACGGCACGCCGAGTATTCATCCTACGTCGTTTATGCGTGTGAGATTAATTGTGATTAATATAACTTTATTATAATAATTTAAAATGGCAGTTAGTGGAAGTGAAATCAAAATTAAAACGCTTTATGCCAAGAGGGACATACTCTTTTCGCGTATGCAGAATATAAGTGATTATATAAAGAACATTCATATAGAGG